CTCTTTTTTTCCATAAATCTAATAGTGGAAACTTATAATTTTCTGGTGGTACCCATAGATCAGTTAATACCTAATAAGAATTGATTGCATATCAGGGGGGCGGTTTTGAAAGAGTGAGTCATCTGACATATAACCACTTTTCCCATCTCATTTCATTCATTTCATAATCTCGCAATGAGAAGATATTTGAAGCCACCGTAGTCACCGATCTCATCTCACGAATATCATTATGATATCATAAACTCACTTTACTTGGATGAATAAATAAATAGATTTTTCTACCATGTGTTTACGTTAATTTGATAACAATTAAAAATGATAATATCTATAAATAATATTAAAATAATATTAATTATTGCTTATTTGCTTATTCTTTTATGAATGTTATGATATACTTTTTGTACACGGTTTGGCGGTTACAAAAAAGCGTTTTAAATTTTGATTTATTAATTATCAACCAGTTTAACCCGTATTAACTTAAAAAATGGCACGTATAAGTGAAAACCAGAAAAACGTCATGGCAGATTTTTTTATTCTCAACCGTAAACTTATTGAAAATAAGTTCAGTGATTCGTTCACATTTGAACACGGTGAAAGGTTGTGGAATGAATTAGCTGAACTTTTGAATGCTAGTGGAAAAGCTCAAAAAGATGTCAAAAAGTGGAAAAAAGTAAGTGTATATTATAGTAACCACTAACCAGCTAGATTCTTATATTTAAATTTTTTTTTGAATTTTTGCTAATTTGTATTTTAATTGAAGTATTAATTCTTCCAGTCTAATCTATATAATCAATGTGTGTGTTTTTCATAGTAGATATTGGATCCACCCACATAACATAATATAGGTTTAATAATGGTATTAGTAAAGCTGGGCAATTTAGTCACTTTTTTCAACTATTTAAAGTTAAGTTATACTTTAATATAAAAAGTAACGAAGTTTGAATATTAGTTAGTTTCTGATATTTACCAAATTCCTATCTTAGTTAGAAGTTAGTTTTTTTTTAGTTGAAAATATAAATAAACAACATTTTTTCAAATGTAATGTATTACATAAATTAATTATTAATTAGGTAGGTAGGACGATAACTAACTTGAATTATTGGTAATGAATGAAAAATTTAATTGACCTGTCTACTGATAATTGTTGCAAATGTATAAAATAAGTAGATAATAGCTTTAATTTCTTGGAATATTAGTCATTAGAATATAGAAAGTATTATAAAATAAAAAATTGAAAAATGCTTAAGATAGATCTCGACTAATCTTAATTTAAGTAATACTTTTTCTTTTCTTGAGCCAAAGTCTCATTTATAAATCTCATTTGGGTCATAAATTTAGCTTAAGCAATACTTATTCTTAATAAGCATCGACTATGAATATATTCCCTTAGTAGTTTTTATGTTAAAGTAACATTAGTTAATATTTAAAGTAGTTGAAAAAAATGACCAACTTGTACAGCTTCAGAAGTGACATGGTACAATTTATAACAAAGTACTACATCATGTATGCCTCAAAGAAATATATCTCATTTAATAATTATTAATCATTCAAGTTATTATAATATGTACAAGGTACAACATACTAAAATATTAAAAATGTATATTAATTTTCTAGACTTGGGATGACCTTAAGAGGACTATAAAAGACAAAGCTGCCATAGTAAAACGAGAATCTCTGAAAACTGGAAGTCAACCATCAACTATAATTCTTTCACCACTTGAAAGCAAAATCGCTGACATAATTGGGGAAGTATTGATTAGTGGAGATCCAATAGTACATGAGATAGGTATCAATCAAGCTGAAACTTATGTGCACATTAACCCGGTGTCTCCTGATCAAAATCAATCATCATCCAACTGGAATACAGTTAATGTACATAATAATAGTATTGATACTGATATGATTCTTCCTGAAAATGTTCCTTTAAAACAAAATATTGCAAAAAAAAAAAAAGCTTCACGTACATACACTGATGCTTTTGAAAGTGGACCGAGTTATGAAGAAATGATTAAGCAACAGAAAAATTTAGCTAATGCCACTGTGAATCAAGCTGTGCAAATGGAACGTATAGCATTAGCTTTGGAAGAAAGAAATGTAATAGAACGGGAAAGAAATGGAATAGAACGTGAAAGAAATATTATTTTAGAGCAGAAATACTCTAAAAAATATCAGCAAACCCACAGTCCCTTAAATATAGATTATGAAGATGTCAGTGTGATTGGCATTAACGATTTAGAGTAGTTTTTTTTTTTAAATAGCTTACATATTGTACATATTTTGTACTGTGAAAAGATCTCGACAGTTAATTTTTTTTTGTTTTAATTTTGTTACAATATTGAACATTTATTTTAATGTAACTAAGTCTATACCATTGTTATGTTTAATTTTTATGAATACCAAGTATGGTTTTTGTTAGTACTATTTAGTATTGTTACCTATATTTTTATATCATTGTTATTATTGTGTAAAATATTGATCTAATAGTTGTTGACGTGTCTGTCGACCAGCATTTAATAGCTCTTCAACTTCTTGTTCATGAGTTTCTTCGTCTTCATCCTCTTCTTCTTCTTCATTGTCATATTCAGGTAGCTCAACATTATTATGTATAGCGAGGTTATGTAAAACAGCACACGTTATTATTATCTTGGAGGCTCTTGTTGGTTTATAATGCAATGTGCGATCCTTTAATAGGCATCTCCAACGTTGTTTCAAAACCCCAATGCACCTTTCAACTGTACAGCGTGCACGTTTATGTCTTATATTGAACCGGTGTTCAGGTGAATGAACTTGATGATTTCCTAGAATAGGAGTCTTGCACCATGGTTCTAAAGGGTAACCACTGTCACCTATAAAAAAAATATAGGTGGTATTTTGGTTAAGCTCTTTTAAAAATATATATACTTCTATGATAATTATGAACTTACCAATGAGAAATGTGTTATTGGCATTAGTTTCTAATAAATGGGCACGAACAGCAGAGTTCTTCCATATATATGCATCATGACTACGGCCTGGATATTTTGCATTGATTGATAATATTTTTAAGTCAGCATCTGTTACCTATGAATAACATTTGCTTGCAATTTATTAACAATACTTACTCTAGATTTGGGTACATATCAATTTGGATAGTTAAGACAGTTAAGTTACTCACTATTTGACAATTGATCGAATGATACTGTTTTCTGTTAATATATAAATGTTCTTGATACAATTCATCAATTTCATTGGGTGGTGTAATAGCTATTTGTGTGCCATCTACTGCACCAATTGTATTTGGTATATTAAATTTTTCTAAAAACCTTATGGAATACAATAATCAATGTATGTAATTAATGCATCATAAAAAAAGACTTTGACATTCAAGAACTGATTGAAACATTTCAAACAATAGCAAATTCTTAAAATCAAAATATATAAGTAGAGAATATAAGTGGAGTATATATTTATTTTATTCCTTGTAATATACTAATATCAATCTACTTGAACTTGATTTTTAATTTATTTTACACCATTAATATACATATGAATTTTTTAATTTTATTTTTTTTATCATACCTACTTACTTATTTATTTAAATTAATCATCATAAAATATAATGTAGGTATATCAAACAACAAAAGAATATTTATACCCTTTCAAAAGCTAAGGTTGTGCCAAAAAGGTGAGATCTATGTACAATTTTTAACAATAATAAACAATTTAATATATATATAGTATACGGAATAAAAATAAGGATATAATTTATAAAATAGTTAAATGATTAAAATTTAATTTACAAACAAAATTTTTAAACAAATTAAATTAACTTAAGTTATCTAAATTAATATTATAAGTTGTTTACATAAATGTGTACCTTTGTTAATTTAACTTTGTTACCTAACTGCGGTATTAATGTATTATACACTTTGTTATATAGGTACCTATTTAAATTAGTGTTTATGTTTTATACATTAATAGTAGAATATTTTTGAAATATTAATTAAACACTGGGTACTCTAAATTCATAACATAATAGATTAATTGGGTATAACCTTGGCTTGTCAAGGATTAATCGCAATATACAATTTAAAGTAGAAATCAGAGCAGCCAAATGTATTTTATAAGTATTTTCAATGTATATAAATTTAAATACATGGGTACAATAAGTTATTTTATTTTTATATTTATTTTTTTAATGTTTATCATCAAATAGAAAATTTATTTTTTATATTTTAATTAGTTTTCAAGTCCTTTGTATTTTATGTGAATGAGGCCTTAAAAAATAAAAGCTCCTGAGGCTGCTTTTGGTATGCTAGACCGACTCAGGTACAAGGTACCTTCCATTAATATACAAAGTTAGAATTTCTACTATTTTTTTTTTTTGTACATAGTACATACCGGCGTTTATTCCTCGCAATTTGTAAAGGAGCTGTTGGAAATTGAATCCATTCATTGGCAACATAGTTTACTATGACGTCCGTAAATTCTTTTAGGCATTTAGATACCATACTCCTAGAAACAAGTATGTACGGGTTTTCTCCTATACCAGTTTGATAGCTACCCACAGCACAAAAATGTATAGCAATAAGTACCTATAGGGAATAATATGTTGCATTTAATTAAAACATATTTTACTCAAGACTGGGCAAGTTAATGATTTTTTTTAACTCAGTTAAGTTAAGTCAAAAATGTTTTGTTAAATTAAATTAAAAGTTAAGTTAATTTATTTTTTTAATATATCAATTAAGTTTAAAGTTAAGTTAACAAACTTTTGTTAACTTAATTTCAATTAATAAGTTAAGTAATAATAAAAAAAAAATTCATTGAAAAGGTTTTAAAATAAGTGAAAATCACTTGTATAGTAGGTAATATATTATTATCTATGAACATAATATATTAATATGATGTATATAATTTAAAAACTGTTGTAGGGCTGTATCATTTTATAGCTCTATTTAATATTTATATTTCACGCTGGAGTGTTGGTTGATTTAAATTTTAGTTTAAATGTGCTTACTTTATTGTTTAACTTTTACAATTCAAAAATAAATAACTCAAAATTAACTTAATTGGTAATATTAAAAAAGTAGAAGTTAATTTTAAGTTAACGTAGATGGAAATGAGTTAAGTTAATTAAAACAGCGAACTAGTAAGTTAAGTTAATAAGTTAAAATTAACTTAACTTTTAACTTATTAACTCGTTAATGCCCAGCCTTGAATTTTTACTATATTGTCAATAAGTTATTCGGTACTAACCCTTCTTGTCAAAGATAAACTATTTGGCCGTTGTTTAATGGTCATGTAAGGCCTTACTTTGGCTATAATATAACGCACACAATCCTTTGATAATCTAAAGTCCTTTATAAATTTGGTATCACTTATGAGGAATGGGTCTTCAGCATCTCTTAAAAGTTAAATATACAAACATTATTAGTAATTAATATTTTAATGACTGAATGGTAATTAAGAAATACGAGATGCATATAGAATTATAATTTATAGAATGTTTAGGTGGGTAAGTAGGAATTTACCGCATTTGTTGTCTATATTGTACTCTTCTATGTCTTGGATTAGGAATTCCAAAAAGTAAAGCCATTCTGAAAACTAGTAAGTACCTTGTGAACCTATTCAAAAATTGAATATTCATAGTAAGATTTTAGAATTAATTTTCATTTATTACATGTTTATCAGTTTATCATGTAGTTTTCACAATACTCGGGTGCCTTTTAATAAGTGAGATGATTGAGAATAATTATAGATATTAAGGTACATTTCATTAATATCACCATTTACATTCATTTCACCCATAATTATCATTCCATATCACGTTTTTAAAACACCCTTATACTCACGGCATTCATTTCATCTCACTCACCACTATCATTTTTCACAACACCTAAAATACACGGTATCACGTCATCTCATCTCATTTAATCACTCTCACTCATTCAAAACCGCCCCCCAGCATTCAATAATTTATTAATTATAATTATAAA